CGAGACACAGAGGCCAAATCCTTGCCCAGGATCACCTTCCTCCTCAGTGGTAGAGCTGGGGAGTATCGCGGATTCCAAATTCCCCATCCTTTCTATTTGGCTACCAGGGATCTCAAACTCACCTGCCTTTGAGGGCCTGGTAGCTGATGTACATCAGTGAAGCAAGCCGAAGGGAGATGCAAGACAGGGTGGTCAGAAAGGCACCAAGCTGGGGGCATGCTCATCTCATCATTGGTCACTCACATTTATATTTTACTTTTTAAAGCACTGTCCACACCTAGCTAGTCTGCTGAGTCTGGCCACACGTTAGAGATTTCTCGAATAGGGTCTGTACTCCTTTCTGGGACCCGGACCACGCTGAGGACTCTTGAGCTTGGAAGGTTGGGGTTAGTCCGCGAATGCAGTGTGAGTTAAAAGTCCCCGGAAAGGAGCTAAGTGATTTCTGTTAGGGGCAATTTGCAAAGTGAAAGCTCTCAACTTAGGACGCGGGTTCTCCCTGGTGCACAAGCTGGGGGCAAATCATCCCTGAGCTAAACCTCTGCCCACAGGGAGAACACGGCACCTCCAATTTCAGCAAAATATATATCCAGCAGCTTTAAGAGTAAATGCAGCAGCAGATGGGGGTGGAGGGGCGGTGCAAACATCGACCACATCTTTTTTTTCTGTTTGTTTTGTATCTTGTCTTTCCATTTTATTTATTAAAAAAAATTTTTTTATTGGAATTCAATTTGCCAACATATAGCATAACACCCAGTGCTCATCCCGCCAAGTGCCCCATCTTCTGCTGCAAATTCAGTGGGGAATTTGTGCTGTGACCTACATTACCCCAGCCCCTGCCCCCGTAACTTCCTCTCCCCTTCAAGAACAGCAGAACATGATGTATTTCCCAAGGATGAATTACGGTGTAGAAAACATTTTAATAATGTGCTAAATGACAGCACAACAAATCATTGAAGCCTTCACTGACTTGTGGTCCAGTTCCGCGGAATGAATTCTTAGATGCCAAGCCTCTCATTAACGCGCTTTCAGAAGAGCACCTGACACCCCCCACCCCCCAGGGTCTGCTAACATCTGCCCTGCGCCACGTCTTGGCGCCCACCTTTCCCTGAAATGCTGGGAGGATGCGAACATTGGGCTCCCAAGGAGGAGGCTGTTGGGGAACACTCTTCATCGGCTCCCAATTTTGGGGACATACAAAGGTCCCCACCTGACGCGCAGAGTTCAAAACGGAGAAGAAATGGCCTGTGTCCTACTGTCCTGCTGTCAAACTTGGACGGCTGCGGCATTACCAAGGAAGGCAATGGGAGGTGGGGAGATTGGAAGAATGAATTCAATCAGCTGATTCTTCGACTCTCAGGTTGTGCAGGTGTGCAGAATGCCTGGAAGTCATGGTGCCCCTTGCAAAACAGAGTGAAATACTGACACACTGAGAGAAAAAACAAGCCAGAAATGTGCATGCAAAAGCAGGTCCTGTTGGATATGGATTCCAGGCTGCAGGAGCCCCAAGGTTTTAAGGAAGATGGATGAAGGAAAATGAGCAAATTTTACCCACTTGCTTTGATTCCCCTGCCCACCTTCCCTCTCCTGCCCCAGGCTGGCAGGCACCACCTTTAGGAAGTTCAACAGTGGGCCAGCTCATAGAAGAGTCTGGTGTCCCGTCCCGCCTATATGGAGAAGCCGTCTGAGCGGTGGGTGAGACGCAGCAAACTCAAGCACCTAGTGGGGGCCACACAGGTAATGCAGGGGAGTGTGTGAGAAAACAGCCAGACGCCAACTGCAAATGGCTGGGAAGGCTCGCTCAGAGTCCAGAAGACGACAGGAGTGGGGGGTCCCAGTGAGGGCAGGGCAGCGCTGTCCGACGGCAGCCAAGTGTGGCTGAGTGGGAGGGGATGGGTGCTCATCGGCCCCACTGCTGTCACAGAACACCAGTGACTGGGTGACTTAGGCAACAGACATTTATTTCCCACTCTGGCTCTGGAGGCTAAAAGTCCAAGATCACAGTGCTGGCAGATTTGGTTCCAGGTGAAGCCTCCCTTCTTGGCTTGTAGATGGCTGAGTTTCACTGTGTCCTCACGTGGCAGAGAGAGAGAGACAGAGAGACAGAGAGGGAGAACTCTGGTGCCTCTTCCCCTCTTCTTATAAGGGCACTAATCCCATTACATCACCCTTGTAACTTCCTCTAAACCTAATGACTTCCCCAAAGCCCTATTTCCAAATACCATCAGATCAGGGTCAGGGCTTCCACACAGAAATTTTGGGAGGACACAGTGTTCAGTCTGTAACAGGACATGACCCATTCTGATACTTGATTTTTTTTTTTTGGACACTAATATTTTGATGTTGCCATCATTTCAATTAAGATAAATAAATAACAAGACCCCATCGGACTGATCAAATAAAACAGGGCAGAGAGGCAGGCTCAATCCACAGGCTGCAGGTTTGTCCTGAAACACGGGATATGGCACCAAACAGCCTGGGCTCACCACGTGCTGGCTGGGTAAACCTGGGGTCAGCAGGTAACCTCTCTGGGCCTCACCCTCCTCGGCAGCTTTGAGGAGAACCTTATGAAATTGCCATTTTACTGGCAACTTTCTAAGGTTCCACCTAATAGGTTCTCAGGAAGGAGAAACACTCAGCCAGTGCCTGTAGCAAGTACTCAACAAATGGAAGGGGCCAGGCAGTGCCATCCTTAGTGAACACATCCACTCCTGGCCAGTAGCTAAAAGGGGTTTTTAGAATCCTGAATCAGCATTTGAAAGAACTGAGGGGGAAAAAAAAAGGAGGAAAAAAAAAAGAAAGAACTGAGGAAATCTGTCAAGGTTTATAGGAATAATTATGCTTTGTGAGGTTTATTTCCTTAGCCAAGAAAGATTTTTTTTTTAACTAGAAATTTCTCAGGGTGAGCTTCTGAGCTGAAGGCCAGGCACACTGTTTCCTGTGGGCACACGCAACTAGGAAATTACCACGTGGAGATTCATCAGCAGCGACACACTGGGCCCCAGAATGAACCATCTGCAAACTCCGACCTGGAGTCCCACCTCACTCAAAGACAGAAGAGGACAGGGCAGCAGCATAATTTGGACTGTGAGGAAAGCCAAAGGGGAGAGTGGTTTAATCCCAACCGGGGTCTAGACTAGTGCTTACTCAGAAGTCTGGTGTCAATAGTCTGTCGTCTGCCACAGACTCCTATTGAAATTCTTTGTATTTTTTTTTTTTAAGCCTGTGGCATCAAACCCTACGTTCTCCATGCTAATCAGGCACAAAAGGTTTCTCCCTCAGCTCTGATGAATGGCAACCAGCCTGGCCGAGCTTGCCGCACACACTGAGATGCTCAGTGGATGTACCATTTCCACCAACCATCCCGCAGGCTGATATTTACTCAGCCAGAGACCCCTGGGCTGCCCGGACCCAGTGGGAACGACACCAGCCTGCCTGTGAGCAGTCCTTCCTCCTTCTCAGACTCAGGCAGGCAGCCTTGCTTAGCCTCATGGTCTTAGGACCGACTCTCTAACTTGGTTTTGATCAGAAAATTTAGCTCAAACTCACAGGACTCAGTGACAGGTTAATTTCCAACACGCGTGACAGCCAGAGGTCTGCCTTTCAGGGAACGGGAAGTCCCCTGCCCCGTGAACTCTTACAGCACTTGTGAAACAGTGGAGCCGAGGCCCTGGCATCACAAGGGAATGAAAGAAAAGTGCAGTTTTCCATCTGGAGCATTTGGGAAAAAAGATGCCTTTTACCTGAGGCCAAATACAGACTTTGTCTTCTCACAAAAGCCCTGAAACAATCAGAAAAACAGATGCAAGCTGGCAGCAGTTAGAGGGGCAGTCCAGCCAGTGGCTGGCTGGTTGGAAGTTCAACCCAGAAATGTGTGACCCAAAGGCACCCTCCCCACCAGACACAAGCGGAGTAAGCTCCATGTCTGAAGCTAGAGCACCGCTGTTAATGAGGACAGTCCTCCAAACCCTCAGGGTACCGTCTTTGAGAACTAGACTGAAAAGAAACTCCTATTTTGCCCCAACACATCACGCAGACCCAGACCAATGCTTCTCAATTAATGAGTCCCAATCCCATTTTTGGGGATCCACAGGTTTGCCATATGAGAGTTTACATCTTGTGTTTTCACATGATGGTAATGTTCTAGAAGTGATATAATTATGTTCTATAGCATCTGAAAGCTCTACAAAAAACAACTGCTGCTCCATCACCTCGGTCCCGATTTCAGGCTATAAATGGGTCAGGCTAATAACAGACTATATAGAACAGAGCAGACTCATCAGTGATCGAGTAGTGACACCAAGTGATGACCACCTGCCCCAAGGTGCTGCACAAATGTTCCCCGGCAATGTGACCGGGGAAGGGGCGGCAGGGAGTCAGCATGGAGACACACAGGCGCCGCCTGCACGTGGCAAACGGAAAGAACGTGCCGCATGCCAATGTGAGCAAAGCTCCAGTTTCAGAAAAACAGCCACATCCATTGTGTTGACAGTTTTGAATTGTAATGATTTTGTAAGTGCTTGACATGTCAACAAACGCCTTTCATTTTCTTTTCACTTTTATGACATTCAAGAGTAAGAAATTGATACCTAATTTTAAGTTAGCTCACACTTAAAGTATTTTCATATTTATGTTACTTCAGTCAGGAGCAGCGGGAGTCGGAGGATTTTTCCTTGCGTCCATTACCCGCTGAAGCAACAGTGATGGACCCATTTGGTTCTGGAACATTCTGCAAGCTGCAGGGAATATTAAGCTCTCCTGTGATCAGAAGGTATGAAGTAGAAAACTGCATGGGCCTGTGCTTATTTGCAAATCTCAGCTCAACAACGCTCATCTGCAGACTTGCGGTCTCGAAGCCCTTTCAGAAGTCAGCAGTGCCGCGGCTCCAGCTCCGGAACACCTGGGCCCCAGCGTGTCGGGGACACACACACACGTCGCGGGCCAACCTCGGAGGAGGGGACGGAGGAAGTGCGGGGCAGATGGCCCTTGTGAGCAGTACTTACACAAAGAAGGGCATCAGCTGCACGAGGGTCTCCTTCTTGGGGCTGGCGGCAAACTCGGGAGCCACCTGGATGACCTTGTTCATGACGCTGCGCAGGTAGTTCTGGAGCTGCTTCCTCCGCTCCTCCACAAACTTGGCATCCTGGGGAAACAGACACATGGGGGGTGCTCAGGTGTGCGCTCCTCGCCTGACCCAAAACCACCCACAAAAGATACAGCGATCAATCATCGCCAGGCAGACAGCTAAAGGGTGCTGAGTGATCAACACATGCAAATGGTGCCTGAGGCTTTCCGTTGCAGTCACTCTGAGTAGCAGGGAGGATGCTCATGATGTTCTTACTAAGAGGGGCACAGCGGGTCCCTAAAACCACCCACAGTGCTTTCCCACAAATGAACGAAGTCTCAGCCACTGTGGCCATTCTGCATGGAGCACCTACAATGTGCCAAGTGCAGCGACGGGGTCTGGGGATTGAACAGCGAACACACATGCTCGCTGCTGGGTCGCTGGTGGAGGTTGCAGGCGGCGTGGGACACACCAATAAACCCAGTGACCACACAGCTCAGCGTCTAATTATGAATCACACTAAACACTACCTTCCAGAGATGGTGCTTAATCTGCTAACATAGGAATTTTCCAAGATATGAGTCAGTCCTCACTATTTAAGAAAGGTTTTAGTGATAAACAAATAATACCTTCTCTTAAATAACTAGGATATGTGGCAGCAGGCGGCCGAGGCAGGGGCAACATGGTTCCCACGGAGGGCACAGCACCTCGGCTCCACCCTCTCCAGGCTCCGGTGCTTCTGGCCCTCCGCACTCACACTTACCCCCCACCCGCCCCGCTCACTGCTCCACCCCTGTGTCTGCTTGGCCTCAGTAGCAGTGCAGGCCTCCCAAGGGTGCCTGGTGGGCACAGAACGTGGACCTGTGTGATGGCCTGCTGTCTCCGTGTCGACACCCTTAATCATGTTGAAATAAGGGGCCCCCACAGATCCTGCAGCCCATTGTGCTCATACACATCTGCATGGGGGGCCCTGGCCAGCATGGGCGGGGATGGGGGGCATGGGAAACTCTGAGAACCACGTTGGATGAGGGAAGAGTAGAGAGAGGGCAGGCAGAGGAATGGAGTCATCCATCCTCACAAGAACACGAGAGGAGATGGACTCTTTTTTTTTTGTTTTTTTTTTTTTGTTTTTTTTTTTTTTGAGGAGATGGACTCTAATAGCACATGACAGATGAGCAAGTGGCAGCATGGAGGGGGTCTGGGGAGCCTGAGCAGGCACGAGGTCCCATAGGGGGAGCGGGGCACTCCTCCCTGCCCCCCTGCCCCGGGCCAGCACAGAGCCGACCCCAGGAGGGGCTCAGCAACAGTCTGCTGAACACCACTGCACCCAGAGCCCACCCTGTGCTCAAGACAAGGGTCCCCACAAAGCCCAGCAGCCAAGGACCGGAATACAGCAGGGAGATTCTTTCAGTGTCGCCCAATTTAGCAAATAAAAATACAGGATGCTGGGTGATATGTGAATTTCAGATAAACAATGCGTAATTTCTCAGTATTCATAACTCAATATTCAATGATTCATGAGTCAATAATGTCTCCGTATTCAACTACGCACCACACAATGAAACCTTTCCATGCGGTATTTGGGATACACTTGAACTAGGAAATTATTCATCATTTATCTGAAATTCAAATTTCACCCTTTATTGCATCTGGCAGCCCTCCCGGAGCACCAGGTGGGAGGAAGGGTCACTGAGATGCGGGGCCCGGCAAGCCGCCACCCCCAGGCCCTCTCCGGGTCACAGCAAGGTCTTCTTGTCCAGAGCCACCCCTGCAGGAGCCACCCCATCGCAACCCTCCCTCCAGAGGGAGGGAGCACTGCACGCTGACAGGCTGCTCCAGCTCCAGGAGGGGCCTTGGGTCTCCCACAGCCCAGGATGGGGGCACTGGGTGGGGAGAGCAGCAGGTCCTCGGCACGAGCAGCGAGCGGGAGCCGCTTGCACCGCATCCCCGGTCTGAACACCAGCTGCTGCCCTGTGGCCCCGAGCAGTGAGACGTTCGTCCTTTGAAGGTGGTTATGGTGCCAGGTCAGTGCCAAATGGAGCTCGTGAGGCCTGAGTTTGGATCGGCACACAAGCCTGCGAGGCCTGCCTGGGGCTGCAGACGGACCACGAAGGAGCCCATGGGCCCCAGAGGGGCACACACAGGTCTCCCCGTCTGTGCAGCAGGGATGCTGGGCACACTCTGCAGCAACAAGCAGGGGCGGGAGATGGCTCCTCAGGCCACCTGCAGGAGGGCACCAGGATCCCAGGGAGTGGTGGGAGCATGCCACCCAGGGGTCGAAAACACTTTCCACTGGTCTCAGAGCCTGCTCTCACCCCAGTCCTGGGGGCAGCCGTGACGGGCAGAGGGGTCATCACCCTAGAAGAATCCCCTGTCCTTCCAAGGACTCATCCCTCCAGAGACTGGTGCCTGGAAGCCCGGCCTGCCCCTGAGAAAACCCAGTGCAGCGGCAATCTGAAGCTGACACGGGGGCAGGTTTTGGCGGAGCTTGTTCAGAATAAGCCGAGGTATTTGTGGAATCTTTACTCATGCTCTGCACTCTGTGCTCTCCTCGCCTGGCCTGCTTACCACCCGTCAGAAGCTCAGGAACGGGAAGGACCAAGCCTGCAGGCTCAGCATCTGGAGGCGGGCGGAGGCGGGCAAGCAGGGTCCCAGGACTTCAGCCCGGGCAGAGTCAGAGCTGCCCTCCATCCAGGAGTCGCTCTCCAACTTACAGGAGAGAGAGCCACGATCCTCCACACCACAGGCTGCCCCAAACCAGAAATTCCACTTGGGGGTCAGCTCCAGCAGCCACTGACCATGGGAAGAGACCCCTGCCCGGGACATCGCTCCCCTCGGGTCTCAGTCAGGTTTGGAGGCACCGACACCCCGAGTCCCCGCACAGATCGCAGCGGGGCAGGCAAGATCTCGGAACTACCTGTGGAAGACTGCATGGCTCCCTACGTCTGTCATTTCATCCTGACTTTGTTACGGAAACTTCAAAGTACGGCAAACAGCAGAGCAAAGCCTATCACAAACCCCCATAACCCTTTATCTAATAAGCCTTAACCCTTTTCTGTATTTTCTTCATCGCTGCTACCTTTTTGCTGAGGTGTTTTAGAGGAAATTATAGTCATCACAACGTTTCACCGCGGGGTGCTTCGGCATGCTTCCTAAAACATGAAGAACATTCTCCTGTTTAACCGCAATACCATTAGTACCTCTAACGACGTGAATCAGGAATTGTTGGTGTTAGACACAGTCCGTGTTTAAACATTTCAGTTTTCAAATGTGCCTGCTGCTTCTGGAATTTTTTGAAAAAGGGGCTGTTGCACGTTCCGGGAGGAAGCTGGTGGCTTCAGTGGACTGAACGCAATGCTGTCTGGAACGGACTCCCCTGTCGGGGATCAGCTGGGTTCCCATCTACTGGTGAAGATGGTCCTACCTTTTCTGCCATGAGGTGCTAGTGGCTTGTATGGCCTAACACTAAAACCAGGATATTTGTGTATAAAATGCAGATTCCTGGCCTCCCTTGAAAACCGTGCAGCCCCGCCCTTATTAGCTACAAGCACAGTGCCACCACCCTCCCAGGCTGTCCCCTTGGTCCTATCCCTGCCTGGCCTCCTTGGGCCCCTTAAAACCATCCGAGATCACACTGTGGGATGATCGCACCTGACGACATTCCCTCAGGCAGGCGGAGCGACCTGTGTTGCCATTTACCAGCTCTACCGTCAGGTGGCTAGACTACGGGGAGCCTCAGGCTTCTCATCCATAAAACGGGGATGAGGAGGGAGCCTACCTCATTCATGATAACCCAGGCTAAGCCCTTGGTGACCAACGCCGTCTGCCAGGCTGCGATAGAGGATGATTCATGGACGCTCCACCAGGATGTTTCCTTCAAGGTGTTTCTATGTGGACGACGCAGGTGCGGGGGTTGGGGGTTGGGGGGAGTGTCGGGGCGGGTTTGGGGGGTTGTGGGGAGTGTCGAGGCCGGGGAGGCGGCAAGTGCTACAGGGCTGTGATCCACAGGTGCTCAGGGAGGCTCGGAGGAAGTTCACGTGAGGAACAGAGAGAGGGTTTCAATCAGAGGAAGTCTCTCCTGAAAGTACTGCTTCAGCATCTTGGGGAGGAAACACAGGGGCCCGTGGGCAGGGAACAGACGTGCCGAGGTGAGGGAAGAGCAGATGCAAAGGACAGAGGCAGAGAGCAGGCCCCAAGAGCTGGGCTCATCCACCTGAGCAAGACAAGATGAGTGGCAGCTGGAGTCCATCCTGCCCAGCCTCCCAGACCACGGGAGGAAGCCGGCGGTGGGGGCTGCAGGAGATGCGTCGTCCCACTGCCCAGGGAAGCGGGCTACAGGCAGCCTCGGACACAGAGACCTCTCAAAATTCTGTCCGAGCTCAGAATTCTTCAGTGGCTCCCCGGGAACTCTATTCATCCCCCGACATGCACGTCTAAACCCTTAGCATGACTCACGGGGACCTGCACACTGTGGCCACAGTGCACCCTGCCAATGTCCGCCTCCCTGCCCTCCACTCAGCACCCACCCAACACTGTCAACATGTCTGCCCTCTCTGCCCATGTCACACGCACACTCTCCTGGGGCCTTCTGGCCTTTCCCGAACCATTCCCTTGGCCTGGAGGTCTCTGCTCTTGTGCCTCCACCTCCGAGAGGCCCTCCAGGATGTACCAGCTAACATCGCCCTGTTCTCTTCTTCATGGTCCTCACTGCTGCCTGGAATGGTCTTGCTGGCTCATCATGTGCCTCTTGCTTCCCCACCTCCCCTAATCAATTCCAAGTCCCAGAGAGGCTGGGACATTATCTGTCTTGTTCTCCCCTGTACCACCAGAGCCTAGAGATGATGAGAAGCCCCATAAACACTTACTGCAAAAACGCATAATTGTGGGGCATGAATTCAGGGGAGGAAAGGCAGGCCACCAGGCAGAATGGTTGGAAGGCTGTGGCAAAGTCCAACGGGAGAGGACAAAGACCTGTGAGGGGAGTGGGATGGAGGAAAGAAGGTTGGCCTCCAAATGGCCTCGGGCAGCAACCAGAAGGCAGGTAGTAAGTGCACGAAGACGGGGTCCTTCAGAGACCC